TTTTGAGTGTACAATAGCAAATATTTTCGTAGAAAAGACTTGCTTCATGTAATAGCTTTTTGAATGGAGTTTTAACTATGTGTTTCTCAAAGGTATGTTTTCAGGTTCATCCTTGTGGCAATCGTGGGTACCAGTGTCGCTTTGCTCAACATTATCGAAAATGTCTTCCTCTGTTTTATTCTTTTCGGCAAGTAAGTTTCGAATGATTTACGGTATCTGAACAAATGCGTGCTACGAGCGAAAAATTCTTTCAATTTCTCAAAAGATGTTAAAGTAATTCAAGAGTCCTAAAGTTATGAAAAGCTTTTATCTCTGAGTTTTCTCACTTTATCGCAAAGATTGCAAGAACGTCTGAAGCTTTCTCATTCTTTAGAAGCTACTACAAACGTTTTTCCTCTTTACAAACCAAAACTAGCTAAGAATCTAGAAGTATTGAAATGTCGTCATGAAAACTTAGAAGACCCGTATTTTCTTGCAACACCCTTCAATCAATCATAAAGTTTGATTTCCCGAATTCTTTCGGCTAAGAATTGGAATAATTTTTCACGCGAAAGTTTCTATCCGCTCTCATCCATAAATCAAAGCCACAAAAGTCAGTCCCACGTGGTTTGGAAATTTGACGTAAGGAAATTTTTTAGTTCAAGTGTGACATCAAATGGCAAGGCGATTTTTCGCCATAGCGCCTTGGGCCATAAAGCATTAAAGACTAAGGAGTTAGCAAGGTTAAAATGACGTGGCTGGAGACCCCAAAAATGTGATGGAATATTTTTTGACTCAAAATTAGTGCTCTGCATTTGTAGCCAAGACAAATATGTGAACGAAAGAGAAGAGCAGAGTTTTGCAGCCTAATACTACCCTCCATCATCTCCCATCTGCTCATTTCGTGGCTTTGAGAAGAAATTGATTAAGGAAACAAGCAAATTACCCAAAAAAAGTTGTTGTCTGACAGTGACAATAACGCTGTATGAAAGGAACCGTGAATAAAAACTGCACAAAAATCTTGAACTTCGGTTGACCTCTGCTCAGACGATTGACCGGAACTTCCGCAAAGCGTTGGCGGAAGTTTCGCCGGCTCACCTGCGAAAGATCCACAAACGTGCTGCGGAAGTTCCGAAATTAGGT